TATATATATATATATATATACACATACATACATACACACACACACACCTGACATACAATACTGTATTGTAACATATTTATTATAATTTATGTATAAAGATCTTGTGCATTCAATTGCAGTATTCAATATTAATACTTGGACCGCATTGAACACATGAAGTAATTAGAAGAAAGGCCCTTCTCACAGGTCTGTGAACAGTGGACCCAATGCAAGCAAACAAGGCTGCACAGTTCTAGTTGCTGTAATGTATGTGTTAATGTTACAGAGAAGGAAAAAAAACCTTAAAAGAAATTTTTGTGAACTGATTCTCTAAACAAAGTTTGGTGAACTAAGTACAATTTGGACACAAACAGCAATAAAATGCCTTCCCCTACTCTACTACAAAAACATTAGGGAGAAATTGCTTTACGAGAACATGTAGAAGGGCTTATGTTTGTGTCAGAACTACTTTCACCCCTTACAATTCAATAAGAAGGCAAAATTATTTTGTAGCAGGTTCATGCAGCTTAGAAGATGGTGAACTACAGGTCAAATCCACTGATTTACAGCAGGACCGTTACTTGTTAATTGAGGATAACACATGAGGATAAAGAGGGGGTTAAACAGCAAAATGAACATGGGGGGCATTCCTTTTTAAATAAAGTGGCCACATGATGTATAATGGGGTTAAAACCAGCCACAGTTTACAAATCACACCTCGTTAACATTAGTATAGCTAGGATTGGTAACACCAAGTCCTTGTTCATGTTCACCAGGAATCAGCTGAAATTACAGCCATATATGACAAGCACTAAATGCTGGAGATCTGGAGTCTGTGTTACAAATATCAGTGTAATTCAGTACAGAACTGAAAAAAAATGGCTGGAGTTTGGATTTCATTCTGCTGTTAACTTAAAAGAAAAGACTTATGTAATAATTGACTTGACAGCAAAACTTTGTTTTATAATATTCAGTAGACTATTAAACTTTAAAAAGATACTGTGTGATACTCAGAGGGATTCCAATCTGGTAATCATTGATAGCATTGAGAACACGAAGATCACGGCACATGGTCACAAAATCTGAAGGTGAATAGGAGTCTAGAAAGCATTTCCCAAAAGATGCTGCCTACAGGTAAACAGAGAAAGGCTTCATTGTTACATGCATGCACAATAGATAAGAAAATAACGAAACATTCTCAATACAAATACAACATACATTTTATACCATGCACAATCTTAGTGGTTTTAGAAAATATTTGTTGTACCTGCTTATTTTATGTCCTTTATTGTGTCAACAGAAAATAATATATAATTATATTCCTTTTATATATACAGAATAAAGCAATACAATAATATAACAGAATGTTCTTAAATAGAAAGACTTATATTGTAATAAACCACTATTAAAAATTGTGTAACAAAATTTTTGTACGGGTACTCCTAGAATGAGATCCTAATAGGTTGGACTTGATGGACTAATGTCTTTATTCAACCTCAAATACTATGTAACCTTTTTTTGTTGGCTTTTTCAATAAAAGGTAGACATAAATATACAGGTTTTCTCCAATAACACCTTTCTAACATTAATTTTTACTAAAACAATTGCATGAGCTCATTGTTCAGGTGTGCCTAGTGCTGCACACAACAGAGAATCAACCTAATTCACAAAGAGACAGTGTATGTCTCACCTGTATATAGGGCTGATTGAGGATTGCTCCTGGCACAGCAACAATACAAATGCATTAAAAAATAATATAAAGTGATACTAAACTTGGATTTAAATCTTTAAAATATATTCAAGTACCTCAACTATTAACAAACATATAGCTTATTTGTGTATCACTCTGCTCTAGATCCTATAAGCATCTCTGAATTCATGCTGACACTGTCCTTCCTTCTGGAAGGTGGCTACGTTTGTTCTCCATGGTCCCTGTGTGTGTTTTGAAGTAGACACCGCTCCTAGATCGGTCTCATGATAGGCTATAACTTCAATAGTTACATAGTATTTGAGGTTGAATAAAGACATT